GGGGCCTAAGAAATAATACATATTGAAAAGAACTGTATACTGGTGACTTATTTTCAACATTTTTCTTGGTTACATGAGTTAGCCTTTAAAATAAGAAAGAAAAAAGAAAAAAAGAAAAGTGGCACTCTACAATTTCTCTTCAGTGGTCTGTGGTCTTGTCCTTGTGCTGAGAGAACCCAGGTGCTAATTTGTAGGGTTTCATTTCCTTTGTTTTGCTAACTAATGTCTAATTTCCTCTTCCTAGTGTGATTTTGATCATGGCCTTTTCCAAAGCTTTTGAACTGGGATTAGTTGCTGGTGAGAGACTTTCTGTTCTTTTGATCACTAACAATTTTTATATGGCCGGAAATGCAGACTACTTGAGTTGATTTTGTCGTTAAGGGTTGGCCCACAAACTTACACGTCCATCTCGGGGAGACCTGGCCTCCAGAAACGACAGCATTCGGTCCCAGGAGGAGCCTTCAGTTCGTCCTCGATCTGTCGTGTTCGTGCCATCCATAGGAATACAGGACAGTAAGACCTGCCTGCCTTAAATCGTCTCTGTCCTGGTCCTTTGCATATCTCCGGAGTATCTTTTTAATATTCTTTCACCTGAGAGGGTGGGCACCCGATTTTGGAACAGGGCAGGTGGTTGGACTGCTTTGGGTTTTAGATGTGAGACAGGCAGTGTGTACTTTGCCTCCCTGGGAAACTCCTGGAACCACCAGTGGCCTGTGCATGAAAATGATTTCTCTGCTCAAAGGCACAGGTAGCAAAAGGAGCACTCAATTGCAGAGTCTTATTCTGTGAGGTTTGTAATTTTTAGACATCCGCGAACACATTGGGGAGATTAAGTCCTTGGCGTTGTATGAACCTTGCTTACAGGAATGGTTTTGCCATCCCTCCACCCTCAGCCACGCCTTCTTACCTTTCAGAGAAGGAGCTGAACAGAAGCTGCTGTCTGAATGGGGGCACCTGCATGCTGGGGTCCTTTTGCGCCTGCCTCCCCTCTTTCTACGGCCGGAACTGCGAGTATGATGCGCGCAGAGAGTAAGCCGTTCACAGGGGCAGGGAGAGGTGGAGAGCAGAGGGAAGGAGAATGGACATTTCAAATCCCTGGGCATTGCATCTTGGCTGTCGTTCTCAGGAACTGTGGGACTGTGCCCCATGACACCTGGCTGTCCAAGAAGTGCTCCATGTGCAAATGCTGGCGCGGTGAGCTCCGCTGCCTTCCTCAGCCATTTCTACCTGGGTGTGGTAAGCAGTTCTCTATCTTACGCCCTTTCTGGTGGCTTCGTTGCCTTTCGGGGTGCTTAGTTAACGGGGTCTCTCCTTGTACCTCATGGCTTGCTAGAGCCTGGCAACCGAAGTTCTGCTTGTGAGAGCGTTGAGGACTCCAGATGACGTGGTCACCTTGGCGTGCCTGATACTTACTTCCTCAGAAATGTGGCTAGTCCTGCTGCCTCTTTGACGTGTTATCACGTGTGAACTTCTGTTGAGGAAAATAAACAAGACTTGGTCTCCTGTTTAACCAAGAGTTGCTCTCTGGTGTTCCTTTCCTTTGGGCACGGGGAGTCAAACTATCTCCAGGATGGGCTATTCACTTAGAACCCGCCCCCACAGCAAATTCCACCGGAGGCTTGACCTCAGCGCTAGTCCTTTAGGAACTTCTTCCTGGGGCCTAAAAGGCTCTGGCACAGCCACCCACCCCCACCCCCAGCACTCCCCAGTGATTGGTCCCAGAATGTTTTCACCTTATTGATTTTGGTTTTTTAACTGATTTGAGGAAAGCAATGAAAAGAAGAGCAGGACCTAGAGGGGAGAGAGAATGAGAGCAGAGCAGAGGGTACTCTCCCCACCCTGACCTGAGCCAGCTTTCTAGGGCCACTCAAGTTCAGAGGCCTCTTGTAGTTCTGGCCTGTGGAGATGTTAGAAACTGAAAATATTCAAGTCCAGGAAGTAAATGAAAGTAAACACTTCACTGAATACAGATGGGGCCCCAACCCAGGCAGGGGTTGTGTCTTTGCCATTTGCATCCTGGGTGTCAGGCCCAGGACAGGTGCTTGGTAAGTGTGGGTTGAATCATGACCATGTTTTCCTGGAACTTGGAGCCCAAAATTTGTTGTCCCCTTACGAGAGCCTCACCAAGTTCTGCCCATCCCTGCAATTGAAGGCATCACCTTCTGGATAGGGTCTGGGTGTGAGCATGTCCTGGGAAGAGCAAGTTAACAGTAGGCCTGTGGCAACTTTTGTTAAAAGAGTTTTTTAAGGGAGTCTGAATTCATGGGGTCAGTACTGTTGATCCCATAAGCATATTGTCCTCATCAAATGTTGGGCCCAAACCAATTTTTGGCTCATGTAGATATGTTGTGTGTGGGTGGCAGGATAAACTACTTGAGGATGGGGGAGTTTACTTTAATAACCGGGTGCCCCTTCCCTTCCAGGCGGCCATGTGATGGATGAGCACCTCGATGCTTCCCGGACTCCAGAAATACCACTGTCTGCGTGGATCACTTTTATGTTAGCTGGCATCTGCCTTTCTCTACAAAGTTTACTATTAATGGACATTTGACTTTCTCTAGAAATACAAGTTCAGATACCATGCAAATTTCATGACCAGTAAAGACTGCTGCTCTAGTGTCCTAACTGAAAGATGATCATTTGTTAGTTGCCTTAAAATAATGAATACATTTCCATAATGGTACCTAACACTTCCTAAAGTGCCAGATAGTTCTTACGTCTGCCCTGCCCTCTCCCAGAATTTTTTTTTCCAAAAAAAAAGTTAGCTATATCTACATTCTGCCCAAGTCCTATGTTTCTTGATATATGTAACTCTACCAAGGTCTTCTTATTAATATTTTCTTTTAAACAATTGAATTCTGTCTTCGGATTATTGAAGGCTAATCCTAATGTGGAACTGAGGATAAAGTTTTGAGTAGAGTTGATCGAAATCAATTAAGATAGTATCTTTAAAAGAAAAGAAGGACTTTAAGAGGAGGAAATGGAGGGCAGGACCAGAGCGATGGAATGATGGAAGTCTGTCTGCACATGTCTGAGGGAGATCCAGTAGGAAAGAGAAGCACATGGGAGAGATGGATTAGGAAAGATAAAATGGGCTACTTGATGGGCAATTAGGTGGGAGTAGGGAAGCAAGTTACAAGGCTAAGTTGAAGGGCAAGTTTCCATCATCCATAAAAAGCTGTATAAGGCAAGGATTTTCCTTTTTTCTCAAGGCATTGTAAGAAGAATGAAGTCTCCTTGGGAAAAACTTATATCTAAATTTCCCCAACAAGATTACTTAATAAATTATGTTTTTTCCAAACTATGTAATTATTTTAACTGTCATAGAAGAGAGAAAATGTTCACAATATATTTAGTTGTAAACCAGGTGATAAAACTATATATTGTAAAGCCCATTTTTAAAGTACATTGTGTATATGTGTGTGTACAGTAAAAATGGGAACTATATGACCAAAATGTGACTGTAGTTATTTCTAGGTGGTGAGATGACTAGTACTTTGTGGTGGTGGGCTTCTTCCTCTGCGCACTTCTGTATTTTCCCAAGTTTTCATGGCGAGGGTGTGTTGTGTCTGTCTTCATATGGAACGTAACAGTACATCTGACTCAAAACTGAGGAAACCACAAGAACCAGGGCCCCAGGTGGGTGCCCAGTTTTGTGTCTGGCTTTGGTGTGTGTGCTCTGCTGTGAGGGACAAGATTTGCTCCCACTATTTAGGTACCACTTGATCCACAATTTGTGTTTTTCCAAATTAACTCCGTGTAGATGCAAAATTCCAAACGGGTAGGATTTTTTGCAGTGCCCAGTGAAAGAAAGTGAAATGGGGTAGCAGGAAGCAGTGAGGTACAGTAGAAAGAGCACAAATATGGAGGTGGACAGGCCCAGTGCAGAGTGCTGGTCTGGCGACTTACAGACCTGACAGTGGGACTCAGTTTCCCAGTCTGTGAATCTAGATTAATGTCTATATCACAGTGTTAGAATTAAGTTAAATAAATCGATAAAACACTTGTGTTCAAGTAAGTAGTCAGTTAGGCATGAGCAAGGGAGGAGGAAATAGAAAAGTCAGTCAGGCACTCGAACAAATGGCCGTGCGGATCGTGGTTGACCTGAGGAGAAGGAGCCATTAATTTCCCAGTATGACATAGGCACAGGTTCAAACTAACTTTCCTCCATTATACCGCAATTATATAATAATAAGTTAACATTGTGGTTTCGACCCCCCTTGTGGGCAAAGCAGGGGAACTGTGACTAAGAACTGAGGTTGGACAGAGTGATCATTGACCGCCCAGCCTTCCTGGACTTCAACAAATAAAAATAGCAACTGCTCGGGGTTTGGCTCTCGTTTCAAGCCTGCCCACTCCGCTCTGCACAGCCTTTTCTAAGCCTGTTGCTTTTGCTCAATAAACTTGCCACTGTCACTGGGTTGTGTACATGTCCTGAAATTCCTTTCTGAGACGTTAGCAAGAACCTTTACATGGGTGACCCTTGTACAAAATAGGTTCTCAGCAGATGTCACATTTATTCTCTTTCTTCTTGTATATTTAGCACAGAGGATTGAAAAACATTTTGGGGTCCAGGAACAGAAATTTTTAAAAAAAAAACGAGTATTATTTGAAGCATTGAAAGAAAGCTTCTCATTTGCATGGAAATAATTCATAGCCACACTGTTTTCCAAACCTGGGCATCCCCATACCACCTCAGTGATTTGGACCACACCATCTGTACTTAATTTTTTGTTATTGCTGTTTTTATTTTTATTCTTTGTAGCATAATAAAGTATCAAGCAATAGAGTTAATTTTTTTCTTTATATCAATTCACTTTTTATTGTGGTTAAATATACATGACAAAATGTACCATTTTAATCATTTATGTACGGTTCAGTGGCATTAAATACATTTACATTGTTGTGCAACCATCATTACTATCTATTTTGAAAACTTTTGCATGATCCTAAAAGGAAACTCTGTGCCCAATAAACATTAACTACCCATTCACCCCTCCCCAGCTCCTGATAACCTCTCTTCTACTTTCTATCTCTGAATTTGACTATTCCAGATACCACAAATAAGTGGAGTCATGCAGTATTTGTCCTCTTGTGTCTGGCTTATCTCACTTAGCATAAGGTCTTCAAGTCTCATCCATGTTGTAGCATGTGCCAAACCATTTTTTTTAAGGCTGAATATATTCCATTGTATGTATGTACTACATTTTGTTTATCCATTGACCCATCGATAGATATTCGAGTTGTTTCAGCATTTTGACTACAGTGAATCATGCTGCTGTGAACATTGGGGTATGAATATCTGTTTGAGTCCCTTCTTTCAATTCTTTTATGTATATACTCAGGGTGGAATTGCTGGATCACATGGTAATAGCATGTATTAATTTTGTGAGGAGCCACCATACTGTTTCCCACTGTAGCTTCACCATTTTACGATCCCACCAGCAATGCACACGGATTCCCATTTCTTCACATCCTTGCCAACACTTGCTTTCTGTTTTGTGTTTTTCTTTATATTAGCCATCCTATGAGCATGCAGTGGTATCTCATTATGGTTTGGATTTGTATTTCCCTAATGATTAGTGATGAGAATCTTTACACATGCCTAGGGGCTATCAACTCATTTTTTAAAATGCTTATTACTTGTCCAAAAGCAATAGCATTTCTGAAGTCCAGGATAATATACACAAGTCTTGAAATTAAAAAATAATGTTCACCTGTAAGCCATCTAAAATCATGAACCAGAGGTCCATTTTGGGAAATGGTGCTCTAGGGATACACGAGACTCTAGATTCCACCCTCAAAAGGTTCACTGGCTTCTCAAAACACTGGTCCCATGTGGGACCAATGAAGACACTCCTGAGTCCCCACTCTGGAGTGGAAAGCATTTTGCTCTTTGACCCCGTCATTCTTGGGGGTGGACTTGCCCTGGCTCATTCAAAACCCTGTTGCTGGCTTAAAGGCTTGATACCCAGGAATGGTTTACTGCGTTAGGGCTCAGCCTTAACCTTGGAATATTACACCACCTTTAAAACATTTTAGAAAGAATTTTTAATGACATGGGGAAATGCTTAAAATACACTGTCAGGTGTTAAAGGCAGAGTACAGTACAGTCCAAACTGGAATTCTTACAAGGTAAAAAACATGAAAATATTAAAGTGGTCATTTCTGAGTAGAGGAATTATGTAATTTTAACTCTTTTTTTCTAAACTATCTACAATAGCATATATTTTATAATTGAGAAGTTAAGATTTTTGTAAAGAAAGGCAAGATTTATTTTGTATCTGTGAGATTACAAATAACCCTACTGAAGTTCATGGATGTTTTTATGGGAAAAGGAGTCAGCCTGGGACAACTATGAAATGACAGGGAAAAGAAAACCTTCAAGATGAGTAGCTAGAGGTAGAATAGATGTTTCTATTTCAGTGAAAATTGTGAGAGGGTTATACTACGATGACAGTAGTAAATAGGAAATTAGAG